CTGTTCAATCACCCCCAGTTGCAGCATCTCCTCAATCTCCTTGCGCATGTTTTCCTTTACCGCTTCAGGGATGCGCATGGGAAGTTGTCCTGGGGTCTTTACCCTGTGAGTGGCCAAAGGAGTGTACCCAGGTATATTGGAGAATGTGTCCTGTTTCTCCCTTAATAACTGTTGTACCTCGGTACGCTCCTGTGGGCTCAGCCGATCCCCCAGAGTAACTTCCCCCAACTTCAACTTCCCGTTGAACCTTTTGCATAGCCCATTGGTCTGGGGGTGATAGGGGGCGCTAATGATTGGTTTGATGTCACAAAATTTCCAGAGGCTTTGGGTGACTTCTGCAGTGAACTGGGTGCCCTGATCCGAGATGATCTCTCTGGGTAACCCCATCCGAGTGAAAATCTGCATCAGGGCCTCAGCCACCATTTCTGCATGTATGTTAGTCAGGGCAATCGCCTCTGGATATCGGGTGGCATAATCCACTACAGTTAAAATATACTTTTTCCCAGAGGGGCTGGGTCTTTGCAGGGGTCCTATTAAATCTACCGCTACTCTGCTGAACGGTTCCTCGATTATGGGCAGCGGGTGCAATTTTGCCTTCCGCCGGTCCCCTCTTTTTCCTACTTTTTGGCACGTGTCACACGTGTTGCAGTACCTACGGACTTCCTGACTAACTCCCGGCCAAAAGAAACTCTGGGTCAGCCGGTGCCGGGTACGACTGACCCCTAAATGTCCGGATAGCGGAATATCGTGCGCTATCCGGAATAATTCTGCTCGGTACCGTTGGGGTACCACTAGCTGCCTCATCACAATAGGGTCTGACCCAGCTACCTGCTTGTCAAACTCCCTATATAGCAACTGGTTATCCCATACAAATCTTTCGCCCTCCCCTCCCGGCTGGTCTGAGGTGACTTTGTCTCTATAGACCTGTAAAGTGGGATCAGTGACTACTTCAGCCACAAATTCAGTAGGGGGGCCCAAGGCATACATTCTAAGGTAGGGGAAGGATCTCTTACCTGGACCTCCGGGAGTGTGTTGTAGTCCTGGGTGCGGGCCTGTTGTCGCGTAACCACTGGGTGTGCCTCTCCGGTCCTTGGGGCCTGGGGTTCAAATGCAGATGTCAGTTTGCCCAGATCGTTCCCCAACAAAACTTTCGCTGGCAGCTGGGGCATCAACCCCACCTCCACATTCCCAAACCCCGCTCCCCAATGTAAGTGTACCCAGGCTGTGGGTAGCCGGTATACTGCTCCCCCGGCTACCCTGACTGCTACTGTTCTGCTGGTCTTGGCCTGGTCAGGTACCAAGTGACTCTTGACCAGTGTGATGGTGGCCCCTGAATCGCGAAGACCCTGGACTGCTTTCCCCTCCAAGTACACCGTCTGTCTATGATGCTGGCGGTTGTCTGCATTAGCTTGTACAGGATCCGCTTCATGTAATACCTCCCATTGTTCCACGGTGTTTATAGGAATTGCGGTGCCATAGGGATTTGTTGCCTCTGCTTGGTAGCAGTGGGCCGCCTGTCGAGGTGGTGGAGGTAGTCCGGGCCTGATCCAGGTGGAGCGATCTTTTAGCTGTGGGCATTCTCTCTTATAATGTCCCCAGCGTTGGCAATGGTGGCACTGTACAGAGCTAGTTGGTCGAGATTTTTGTTGTACAATAGCAGGTGGGTAAGGAGGTAGTTTTCGTGGTGGCGGTGTGGTGTTGGGGTAGTGGCTGTTCCCCCCTACGGGTCGGATAACTGTCTTGATGGGTGTTGGTTTTTGTTGTCTGTGGGCATCCAAGTACTCATCCGCCTTTTTAGCTGCTTCTGTGAGGGACTTCGGATTGCGGTCTCTCACCCATTACTGTATATCATTCTGGATGCCCTCATAGAATTGCTCTAATAGTAACATCTGTAACAAGTCCTCCATGGACCGAGCCTTATTGGAATGTACCCATCCAAGAGCGGCCCGATGTAGCTTGCAAGCCCATTCCACATGAGAGTCCTTGTCATTCCTTTTCAACTCTCTAAATCACCGCCGATATGCCTCTGGCGTGATAGCATACCGGGCCAGGATCACCTCCTTTACCCTGTGGTAATCCTGAATTTCCTCATCTGGTACAGTTCTATACGCCTCAGCAGCCTTTCCAGTGAGCTTCCCTGCCAAAATAGGTACCCACTCCTCTCAAAATCCTGGAGAAAAGCATCTGTGTCCTCCTCTGCTTCTACATATGTTTTAAATGCTTGGTAAGGTATTTTTGCCTTACCCTGTATGATGGTAGCTGTGGTAGCATTCCTCTCCACATTTTGTAGTGGCCTTTGGCGTAGTATAAACTCCTGCACCTCTGTCATTGTCCTGGATATAATATCCGCCGTTGGATTCTCTCCATAAAAGGACAGCCTAAACTTCAGCTGTCTTTGGAACTCTTCTTGTTCAGATCCATCTGCTGAACTACGCTACTCAGGGATTGCCCTGTCCTCATTTTGATAATCTGCCATCACCTCTGCAATGAGGGTTGCTTTTCTTTTGTTGCATGCTGCAATACCTTTTGCTTCTAGGAGATCTTTTAGCGTGGATCTTTTTAGCTTCGCATAATCACTCTCCATCCGTATTCCATTAGTCTTTGTTCCCTTGTGAGTCTGGATCCCAGCGCTGCCAACCAATGTAGCGGAGAGCTAGTATTTCATAGCCTATCTCCACTTGTAGATCCCAGTGAGGCTCAGGAACAAGTAATTATAAATCCATAGGGCAAAGTCTCCAGCAGGCAAAACAATACAGCAGTATACCAACAGCACTCCCAATAACTGGACGACACACAGTATCAGGAGCAGAACAAAAGATTTATTCACAGCAGCTCCTTATAAAGGATTCTCCCATGCAAGGGAGGGATTTACAGTAATTACAACAGTAACCAATGATACCGAGGTTCCCTCCCCTACTTTCCCTCCCCTCAGAGTGACACTTAATCCACTTAATCCTGGCACCTTTTCCCCTGTTTCTTGGATGTACCCTAAAACCATGGGGTACCAGACCTGGTAGCCCTGGTCTGGGTGACCAACATACTCAAAATTCACCCAGATCAGACCAGGGGTTCGGGAGTTACAGGCATTAAACGATTTGACTGACCGCACACGAACATATAGCCGAAAGGAGTTCCATGCATTCTGGCCCTGCGGTCGATCTTCGTTCGGGAGATGAACTAGGCATAAATCATTGACATCCATAGCAAATACTGGGTTCGCATGAACCCCCTTGTTCGGTAGATTGAACTCACCGAACGGGGAGCCGATTGGCCCCTCCGTTCGGTAGTTCTGGAGCTCTGGAGGTCTCAGCGGTGTTCGCGCAATTGAGTGTCAGATTTGAGTTCCAGACACTCAACGACCAAACACAGCTGAGAGTTCGTGTGTAAGATGGCCGCCGCCACGTGTTCGTCTACCGAATGGCGGCCACCCAGATACATCAATAAGACCTCAATTAGCTGCGGTTACAAAGGGAATAAAGGTTTAACGAGGGACACACTTCAGCTCTAAGGTGGTCTATGTATTCAGTAGTTTCTATTCGTATAACTATGAAGGAAACTACCGAACTAACATACGAACTTAGATGCAATTTTCACTATACATTCAGTTAAACAGGCGAACAGTCTTTTAAAACATAATTCTGGTGGATAGGCACAGGTCATCCGCTACACTGAGAGTCAAATAGAAGCGTCAAATATTGCGCTTACAGCGCAGTTGTAAAAATTTGAATTGTTTTGATACTAAACTGCTAAATAGTAAATTTGGGGCGTGCTCTTCATATCTGAGAGTCAAATAGAACCGTCAAATAGTGCTGTGACATAGCATTTTTAAACATTCACATTTTGTGGCTTCTAAATAGTACATTTGCGGCCTGCGGTGCACTTCATATCTGAGAGTCAAATAGAACCGTCAAATATTGTGCTTTCAGCGCACTTTGAAAAATTCAGATTGTTTTGGGTGATAAAAAGTAAATTTGGGGTGTGCACTTTGTATCTGAGAGTCAAATAGAACCGTCAAATACTGTGCTTTCAGCGCACTTTGAAAAATTAAAAAAAAAAATTGGGTGCTAAATAGTACATTTGCGGCCTGCACTTCATATCTGACAGTCAAATAGAACCGTCAAATACCAATATAACAATATAGTAATTCGGGGGCAATACTCACACAAGTCAAACTGAGTGGTCAGTTTATAGGGGAAAACTGTTGTCTGGATACAATTCTAAAACAATTTCCATATGTCCTTTGCAGACTTTACATGCTGGAAAAACACAGATGCCAACTGCTGTGGCTTTCTGCAGTGTGCAGACCGGCAAGGAGGACAGGGTTGAGGAGTGGGTGGAAGATGATGTGGTCCTAGACCCCACATGGAATCATGGTCATGCGAGTGATGTGTGGAGTTTGGAGGAAGAGACGCTGGTCGCACAGAGGCACCAGAACAGCATAAGAGGGAGCAGGTTGCAAAAGCGGATCAGCTGTCCCCTAGTGTTCGTCGGCATGTATTATCTTTAGAATTCCCACAGTTATCCAAGTAACAGATGGAGCAATAAAAGGAACCATAACAGATTTAATGAGCCAATCGCAGTTTTGCAGTCCGTGACCGTGACCCAGACATTGTCTGGGCGGCGGTCGGACGACCGGGATCCAGTATGCCTGATGTTGAAGTTAGGAGTCATAGTGTGGAATGGATTAGCAGGGTCCGGTGCAGGGTAACCGCACGCCCCCTGGTGTTGAGCACCAGCGTTTGTGTGGCCACATACCAGGACTCTGTTGCAGCTTCAGTAAAAAGAGTACTGGATACCAGAAGCCATCACCAGACTGATCCGCAACTTGGAACAGGATGTGACATTCACTGAAGTGGCTGTGCGTGCTTTCGGCGTTCTCACCCTGCTGCTGCTCGCCTGTCTGCGCTGCAGTGTAACTTTGTCCTTCCCGCTCACCGCCTAATATGCGACATGCCCACAAGGTCCACCTTGCACATGCTGGAGAGACTGTGCGAGCAGCAGCAGGCAATAGTGGAGTTTCAGCTGCAGCACGGGTCAGTCGCTCTGCACCAGACTTTCCCTCCAATTGATCAGAGTTAAAGGATTTTAAGTGGACTCATTACAATTACAGGGCCTCTAAAGAGTCCTGTATTGTTATTTGTCATTACTACCTTCCCATGTCGGGAGTGGGTCATTTGCGCGCCTGTTGCCTTCCTTGCATGTGGTAGCCGTTTGTCAGGCTCCCTCTCCGGAATCGAACCCTGATTCCCCGTTACCCATGGTCACCATGGTAGGCGCAGTAAGTGGCATTGAAAGTTGATATGGATGACATATGAATTCGTCGTCGCCTTGTCGTTGGGGAGCCTATTGAAAAAGTGCTCTAGCATGGGTGGCCCTTGTGATGCAGCATGCCCATTCCGCATGGGAGTCCTTCTCCCCTTTCCAGGTCTCCCTAAACTTTCGGCGGTATTGCTTGGGGGTGACCGCATACCGGGCCAGGAGGATTTGGGTAATAAAGGGATACTCTCTGATCTGCTTTTCTGGTACAGCCCGGTAAATATTCACTGCCTTCCCAACTAGTTTGGTGGCCAGGATGGTGACCCAGTCGCTGGGGTCCACGTCTTGGAGTAGGCACTGGCGCTCAAAGTCTTGTAAAAAGTAATCAATGCCTTCTTCTGCTTCCTTGAACTCTTTGAAGGCATTGTATGGCTTGTGGGCCAGGGTGGTTGTGCTTCCCGGTGCCCTCTGCTCCCTTCTTCCTTCATCTGGGTTCATGGAGGTCGCCCTCTGTCTATTGGCAAGGACATAGGCTTGCACCTCCAAAAAGGTCCTGCTGACAATCTCCTCTGAGAGTGGCTCTCGGTAATATGCCAGGCGCCGTTCCACCTCCTTGCGCACTTCCTCCTCATCTCCGGCCCCTGGCTGGGGTTTGTTGCCTCACTGCGTGCCTGGTCGTCCCCATGAGCGCAGCAGTCAATTCGGCCTTGTTACGCCCACCAGGTATTTTTCCTCTGGCTCCACACAAGTCCTGCAGTGTAGGTCGCTTTAGAGCACTATAGGAATGGGTCTGTTAGCAGGGACATGGGATTCCGCCGCTTGCCACCAATTGAAGCTGGACCTGGGTAACCGATGGTTATCCCCTTTGATTAGAATAGGTCAGACCCATTTCCCCAGTAACCGGATGGGACACAGTTCCAAAATACAACGTTTGACAATCTTTATTTGGGTACACCGCTTTGCCTCCTCCTCCTAGACTACGTACACAATAGCAGAGGTTTGTGAAGGCCTTTTCTCCATGCATCAGGAGTTGAGCATTTTTCCATGCATCAGGACTGCAAGAAATGCACCGCAGGCCGCAAATCTTTCTTTTTTTTTATATGTCCCAATATTTTGGGGTCTACCCCAATTAAAATAAAAAATAAAATATATAAAAAAACAGTGTTGGCTACCTCCTCAACCTATGGGTCACTTAGTATAAACTATGTACACAATAGCAGAGGCTTGTGAACGCCTTTTCTCCATGCATCAGGAGTTGAGCTCAGTTTGAACAATGAAAGAGAATACTCTGCACTCCAACCCTCTCTCAAATGGATAATTCTCGTGATCCTCCTGAAAGCCATGCTTTAGATTTTGATTTATGTTCTTCCAAAGCTAAAATCAAAGATTCCATCTAGTGCTATTTTATGGCTCAGCTGTTTTTAAAATTTTTATGTTATTGTAAGTGATTTCCCTATCCACATTTGTTTGCAGTGCACTTGTCCTACTCTTACCCCCATTTTACTTCCTTTTGCAGCCCTCGAGCCCTTTCCAGGACTTAAGAGGCATCCAAGTGTCCGCTCAACTCTAGAAATCACACAAAAATTAAGGTTAACACAAGTTATAGTTGATTTTTAATGTTTTGTTTCATAATGTGATATCTAAAGAAGTGAGCATTCTGCTTTAAAAAAAAAAAGTTAAATTGTTAATAAGTAAAAAACAAATTCACAAGTTATGAATTAAAATCATTTGTGTTTATTAGTTTGATAAGATCATTTACATTCAAACATTTAGTAGCCCAAAATCAGAACTGCAATATGTTAATGAAAGTATGAGGTAAGGTAACGTGATGAAATCCATCACCAAGTATGTGTATATGATCTTCCAGTAGTTGAACATTTGTGAGCTTTGCTTTCAAAAATAAACTGTTTCAATCAAGTTCTACCACCTCGGAAACAAACTAAACCCACATTACCAAACCCCACACATTATACATATTGAAAACCAAATTTGTGACAATTTTTAGAGAAACATACACCATTGCCAAGATTCGACAACTTAAAACCAGCTTTGACTAAAAGTAATTTTTATAACAGTAAAATATATATATATATATATTTACTGTTATATACACACTAATCTACCGGAAAGGTTGTTTCAAACTGGGGCCTTGATTTAATTTGCTTAGAATAATTTCTGACGTTGATTCATTTTGTTGTAAAAGAAAAACCACTTTTCAGATGAATTAAAATTGAGTCCTTGGCCAGATGAGGGCAAGGCAATTTATTAAGCAAAGTGATTCAAAATAGGCGGCATGTTTAACCCCTTAAGGACACTTGACATGTGTGACGTCATGATTCCCTTTTATTCCAGAAGTTTGGTCCTTAAGGGGTTAAAGGTATTGAGAAGCTGTTTGTGTATTCAAAAACTACTGTAAAGAAAAACTAAATATAAATGATTTTAAACATGAATCTCTCTTGTATGATATTGTAGAGATTTTAAAGGAAATCATTGTAATGCTTTGTGACAGTTTACAAATTATGAAGAATCATCATGAGCAAGGTTGAACACTGCGTATGAAATCTTTTTTAACCTACATTCTCGTTATTCTGCACCTAGGCAACTGAAGAACACGTGGAAATCCACTGGACAATGATATATGGAGAGTAAAAGAAATGTGTAAAAAAAAAAAAACATCCAATGGCTTTTTTTCATGTTTAAACTTGTTAGGGTAACAATGTAGTAATTTTTACTGGAATATATGAACTGATAAAATGAATGTCACAGAAAAACAAGTGATCTGAAATGATGATAAAATAACTTGCGCAGCAATATCATTTATCACAGTAAAAAAGACATAGCATCATTTATTTTTTTGTGTATAGTGAAGGAGAGCAAGTATACACTACTTGTATAAAGAGTTTGTACGTGTAATTAATAGAGATCTGTGGTCATTTGCCATTGAATAAACATTTTTGTAATCTGTCCTAAAATTTGAAATTCACAATTCACACTGTTGAATAACTTTGATTAACCAAGTATATGTATAACCAATGAGCCAACACCATCTATTTAACTGAATTTAGTTCAAGAATGTTGGGATACATAGTTTGTACAGGACATATGTTTTCTTTATTTGACAGACCTGTCCCATGTATATTAAGAACATGGTGCAGTGGAAACCTTATGAACTCAATATACAATTTAATGTCAATTTTTCTATTGCCCATTTAACATTTTTGATGAAGCACTAATTATAATAGATTTGTTTCACATCCTATTTAAATGCGGACAGTAAGTCAGTGCACTTTTTAAAAAAAATACACCATCTCTCATTAATGTTGTTATAAGTAAGTGAAGAAGTGTAGATGCAATTAGAAGGTATCACATGTGGATATATTGGGGTTAGGTATATGCTCATTAAATTAGACATCACATTGCATGAAGCAACATATAACTGCAGTGATTACAGTGCTTTCTCCACAATAACTCGTCTCGTGGGTGGGAATCAAGGTAGGTCTGGTAACACACAAATTGTTCTAATTGTGATTTATGCACGATAAAAAAATAACAGACACTGAGATAAAGAATTTTAATATCTAGAGCAGTGTCCTTGGTCACATATTATTTCAAGGCCTAATTAAAAGAGATGAGAAACCTGGTCTGGAAAATAATTGGAGAGCCCTATAAGACAGAAATAACTCTTGGAGAGATCACACCTACCAGTGCAAGGTGTGGAGTTATTATTTTTTTTTTTAATGTAACACCAATACTTTAATTATACAATCAGAATATATAATAACCACTTCTTCCAATGCATATTTTTACCATAAAATACACAAACCAAACTTTGTATATTATTTAAATCTATAATCATGTGCTCCATTACTATGTAATGTTTACATTTTCTTGCCCTGACAAACACCAAATCAGAGGAATACATTTTTCTTTGTATACATAATTCCCATTTTCATGGCCTATATAGATTATAAGGTTCCTGACTTTTATATATGCATACTTGTCACAAATCTTGATTTAATTAAATGGCAGTGTAAGTCAGGAATTCACTACTACAGATATGTTGATATGGTCACAGTGCGGCAACACGATTACAGTAATAGAAATTATAGAAGATTATGTAAATTTAAGAGACCTCCAAACACCATAACCACAGCCACCCACCCCATGGTAAGTAGTCATGCCATTTTAGAACAGTTTGACTTCTTACTTTGGGTTCATGAGGCCCCCACTCACCAGTAGGAGATCCAAAAATGCCTGCTTAAGCACAGGTCTCCTGAGACAGCTCATTGGTTAAGAGTGTAAGCTGATCACTATTAGTCAATGAGCTAACCCCTGCACCGCTAGGTTAGCTCAAACATCTATGTGTTTCTGGCTCTCGTACTGCTGTAGACTGTAGTGGAGACAGGTAATGCCCTCCAGACCTTAGGTATAAAGGAAAACTGTTCTAAAACAGGTTAATAATTTAAACTGAAGGAGGTGGGGTGGGACACATCATGGCACTCATCACTGTAATATTAAAAAAAAAAAAAAAATAATAATCCCCCCACGCAAAAAAAACCACCCCTTTTGTTCCATTTAAAGGCTGTTTACATTTAGTAACTTAGTTGTTTAAATGTTATGGTGTGGCTTGAATATTATCAGTGTTCCTTTGATTTGAAGGACTTATTTTTTTTTTTTTTTAAACAGTATTCTTTAAATCAAGAAAACTCCAGAACTCCTCATGCAGATGCCAGTGTAATGTAAGAACGCATGCATACATTTACTTAGTTTTGAGACAAAAACTGGTTTGCTTTATTTTGTAACTTCAAACAATAGTAGAGGAATGAGGCACACCTTATGTGGGTTGAATTCTCAATGCAACCATGTAGACATGCAACGCTCATGCATTACCTTGAGAGGCTTGCACAGAAATGACTGGAAAATAGAAAGAAAATATGAAGGTACAAGTGCAAAAACATGTGCTACATTCAGCTTTATTTGAAGGACAAAGAATATCCACACAGTTTCAGGTTGCCAATTTATCAATGTTTCTATGTAAATGGCCCCAATAATATTTAGGGGGTACACAGTTTCACTCTTTCACTCTGACGTGTTATGGTGATATGTAAAAAAGGCTGAAGAATGTTGAAGAGGTT